TAATGATAATAATTATAATTTTCGAAAAATCGAGTCGCGCTCGTAACATTATAATATATGTCTATATATAATATAATGTTTTATGAACTTTTCGGCGGCGGCGCACGTGTGATTTCTGCGACAAGGACGAGAACGAGTTGCGCGTTGCCGCACATAAATTCGGTATCGTATGATAATATGCGTGCGGGCGGCCCGTGTCGTCGGTAGCGCGACGAGACGAGTTCAGTTCGTTTTCCCGTCGGGCGCCGCGTGCGGTTTTCGGTCGACCGTCGTCGTCTCGTCGTCGTCGCACTCGTTGTCGTACCCGTCGTGCAACCGTACGGTCGTCCGTTTTCGGCGCATCGCCGTACACCCGTAGTATTCGCGATCGCGTGTATCGTGTTTTTTCGTTTCGGTTTTTTCCCTCCCCCCGGTTTACATCCGAACTCAAAGAGATTTCTTGTATTTTATTTTATTATTATTATTATTATTATTTATTTCTCGTTTCCCGGACGCGATATTATAATCACGCGCGAAACCGCGATTTAACATAAAATTATTAATATATCGCGGAATCTGCCCATCCACATACTCAATTTCGTCGAAAGCTTATAAAAAATTACTGTTGTTGTTGTTGTACGCATAGATCGCCGGTCGGACTTGACTGTAATTGGACGACCCCGAGACCTGCAGTCGTAGTAAACAACGTCCGATCACAGGTAAGCCTCGGACGACCTATTATTAATAAATCAAAAATCAAAAATAATAATATTATTGAAGACAAAAAAATAACTATTTTTCATTCTCGATATTTATAAAATCAAAGTCGATATCAAAAAGGTTACAAAAAAAAAAAAAAAAAATTAATAAATAAATAAATAATGAAAAATCGATTGAGCGATGTGTTAGTAACACTCTGAAAATAAACATAATACAAAATAAATAAACAAATATATATACTTCGAAAATTAATACAGTTGCCTACGTTTATTTACATTATATAATATCTTGCCGAATTTTTACTTATTTATACACTTGTTTCTTCAGTGCCAGGGAAGAATGGCTCAAGTAAATAAATTACGTTTAGTTTTCAATACGAGCAATTTGAATGTTGACAATTTTTAAACGATCAAATTGTGCAACATAGTGACTTGAGATATTTTAATATTCTGCGTGTGTTAGAATATACATATTAAACACTTATGCTGTTTAGACGAAAAAATAAAGGGATAAAAAATTGAACAAGACACAATGTGGAAATAAAAAAAAACAAAATGCCAAAAATTGACTTCACCTTTATTTTCCTGGGAACAAAGAATTATTTCTTCGTTTTTACCGCAATATAGTCATATTAGTTTTCTAAATATATCATATATTTATTTTTAATTTTTTTTAATATTATTATTATGTGATGCGTATACTATCGAAATGATATTATAATACGAAATTACATAAAGTACTGTAAACGTATGTATTTTCGTCCTGTCGAGCCAACTACGATAATATATAGAAAATTAAAATGTATACATATTTAAGTAATCTAATGGAAAACGACGTGTTCTTGTGGGTTCACGAAATATCGTAATAAATGTGTTAATATATTTTAATTATGACTTTTTTTTTTTTTTTTACTATGTCTATTCGATATAGGTATTATTATTGTTTTCGAGCACTAATAAAAAAATAATTAATTTTTTTTTCCGACGACGGGCAGCCACTCCTCTTACGGAGAATATTAATATTGTTTTATATTAATTTTTTTGGAAAATATACAGGTATACCTACTATAATTATGACTATAATCATTGTCGCATCGAAAAATAATTGTTTTTTAATTTTTGGAAATGTATAATATAATAATAGACAGGTATGTTTTTTTTACAAATTATAGCTCGTGCGGAAGGGATATTATCGAACAATAACAATAATATTTATAAAACAATAATAATAATAAACAGTCGTATAGGTGCTTTTAGGGTTATAAATTATAACATATAATGAAAGGATATCGTTTTCGTAACTCAGTATTCCCCTATAACTAATATTAATTCTTGGATTCTGAGTAAAGCGAGGAATATGTATATTGGTTCTACTATAAGATGTGTGCTTTTTATTATTTTTTTTTATCAGAAATCATGTTTCAATCAATAAACGACAAGTAGGTTTTTTTGTACAATTTGGGATCTATTTAGTGCATTGAGTACGTCATTCTTTTTCTTGTAGTTTTCAAAATAATTGGAATAAAACGGGAATATTTTACGGTAATGACGGTTTCAGTTTTCTTCTTTCTTTTGTCGTTCTGTTTGAAATAATCGTGAAAATCTGACACTTTTACTTAATACTTATATTAGCCTTTTATAGACGCGGTAAAATTTTCAAAATATTCTTGTATTTGACGTTGTTTGGGTTTTTATTAGTTATTATTTGGTTTTATATGAATAAAATTATTTTTTACTGAGTAGAAATGTTTGTACATTTTATATGAAGTTTAGTTCTAATATAAGGTAAAAAATAAAAAATCGAGTGTAATGTAATATTTTTTTTTTTTTTTTTATAAGAGTTTTAAAATAAGATGTTGATGAAAATCGTAAATATTAAGGCCTTGGAACATGGAGGCATAAATGAACTTCGCTCTGAACCGTTTTTCGTTAGCAATGGTTTATCGTTGGTTATAGATATAATAAATTAATTACATTTATATTTCCCACGTTTCCAATTACCCATCTATAAAAGTGGTCACATCCGTCTCCAGTATCAGCTTTTTATTTTTTTTATTATTATTATAAGTTCACAAATACGTATACATTTTAAAGCATACAATAGCAGAGTTGATTTAATGAATTATGATTTAAAACCAAAACTTCCTAAAGTGTTAAACGTAAAAAAAAATTGTTGGTGTTGTTTGAAAACAGTGTAAGAATATAAAAAAAAAAAAACACTTTTTAATTAGATTATATATGATTTAAAATCAGCCGGGGTGACGTTTCACGTACATTACTACACTTACACATATGTATTGTCTCAAAAAGAAAATAATGATTTTAATATTTCACGTTAAGACATTAAATTACGCCCCTAATGAAAAAAGTAACCTTTTAAAGTATATTAGTTTATTTTATTTACTAACAAATTATATTCGTGAAATATTCTCCCTTTAGAAACGGTTGGTATTTATACCGTTTGAATCAAATGTTTCGTACGTTATGTTTAAAACACAGTTAGATTACTTTAGTTCTGTAAAACATATCAACCCAGGTATAAAGGTATTAGGTATATTACCTAAATTAATATTGAATATTTTATTATATACGTGTTTATATTATTAATCAATATTTACGCGTATATATTTAATAATAATAACAAAAATAAAATACAGATATGTGTATTAAGAGGTAGGACTTGCGAATTTGTATTAATTCAATTATTCGCGAAATATCTATTTTGACATGAATTATAATGCGGTTCTTAACAAATATTATGGATTGTTTTCTTCGGTAATCGCGAGGAAAATATAAAACAAAAAGCATCAAAAGTATATTTCAAACAGCGTTTTCGTGTTGCCGAAGTTTCGAATAAAAATAACTGGTTTGTAAAAATTACGTAGAAGTACAAAAATCGTAGAGTTGACATCTTACAAAAAATAAAAATAAATCAATAATAAAAAAGTACGATTACAATTTTTTAGTCAACCAAGGAAGGGGTTCAATGGTCTATACCTTCCTGAAATTCGTTCAAAATAGAAAATGTTGAAGAAATAGATGGTCAATATTACTTGACATAAAAACAAAAATAAAAATGCCTGATCACAGAAATTGTTTTCCGACTTCGTGCAGTTCTACAGTTTTCTTGGCGCGGATTCTGATAAATTGAGTACCACAACTACTTAAAAATATTGTATTCATGAAGTTTTAAATAAACGCAACTTGCTCGGGAGGATAAAATTCATAATTATGACGGATTTTACGGTAAGAAAATATATTTATTTGAAATTAGTTGAACTATACACAATAATATCGGGTTAGTATTAAATTTGTGCAAAAAGCCCGGAAATATGGAAATATTTTGTGATTTGTTTGTTATTTTAATTGTAGCGTAACATGTATACTATTAAAATATAATATACCTATAAAAAAGCCGGAAATATTTCCATAAAACATTTTATACAAATTAACGTTTACCATTGCACGTTTTCCATTTTCTCAATAAGTCAAACTTATTCGTATACATACGTAATTATATACATATATATTCTCTACAGACCATTTTCGAAATTAATTTTTATTATATCTTGGATTTTAGATTTTTTTCGTGTAACTCGTTAAAATATTCTGTGAAATGAAATTTTTTTTTTTTAGTCTATAAATAAGAAACTCTATGGTGTTTATCTAATGTTTTTTTTTACCACTAACGAATACAACGCGTAACAAAATTAAATACACGGGTTTTTAATTAAATATAATATATTCAGTATCTAACCTGTTTAAAAAGTTTTCAACATAAAAAAATGTTCGTTAGTAAAATACTTTTTAAGTGGACCAAAACAGTGGTTTTTATCAAAAAAAAAAATTATCAAAAAATCATTTGTATCACGCGAGCCATCATAATCACGATTGTCATAGAATCGATTTCAAAATATCATATACTCGATTAAAATTCGAGTTTTTTAATTACCTAAAATGTTTTAAACATTCGTTATTATATCTTATTAGGATATTAGGATATTAGGAGTATCTGTATAATAATATAATATCTCATTTAAGTACACGCGTACATTGAAATTGTTGAATATGTCGAATAGTAGAAGAAATAAGAAAATAAATACAATTTCTTCAAATTTATAAATTTTATTTTTTACTTTCTGTGTGTCACAATGAGATATGAACAGTACAAAGGTAAATTTTAAAATATCTAGATAAAGATGAGAGATAATAATTGCTAGAATAGTTAATAAATTAGATGAAAAAAAAAAAGAAATTATTACGACAAAGATAAACTTGCGTGTCTTTATATAGACAAGAAAAAAAAAAAGCTGATACTGAGAACAGGTGTGCCATTGTTGTTGGTGAAAAATTAGAAATGTAGGATACATACATTTAAGCAACGATAACCATTGCTAACGAAAAGCGATTCGGAATGACGTTCAGTTTATTATATACATATTTATGGATTTAGTTAAAATTGAATATTAAAACACGTATACAAAAAATAACACTTTACCCACAATTTTTTTTATTACTGATCTTCTGTAAAATACCGAAGCATTTTTCTTCAGTCTAACAATTTTATCCATGGAGTACTTACTAATTAAAAATTACGTAAAAAACTTGCAAAATTAAAATGTTTATAAGTAGCTCGAAAATTGCTCCGTTTTGACAATTTTTTCACATTTAGAAAAAATAAGTATACGTTTTGGTCAGAATGTTAAAATGTTTAAAATAAAATTAAAAATAATAAAAGGATAATTTTTGTAAATGTTCGTGTTATTTTTATGTATTTTTTCCAGTTTGTTTCAATTATTAAAAAAACTACACAGGAAATTAAAAAATTACTTTTTATTAACCAAATATATTAAAAAAACCAACAAAAAAGGTTTCCTGTTATATCTATTAGAATAATATTTATAGTAAAATACATAGTTTACAACAATTAAAAACAATGAAATCGGTAATGTCGCTGTGTGTCGTAAATATTTGCCGTTTTACTTATAATTTATTTTTCAGTTTTCGCAATTATTTGGAAAATTCTTCGGAAAATCAAAAAATGATCAATTTAATGAACCATCTATATAGAATTTTGTTTCAGAAAAGTTGCTATATACTTGGTACATCAGAGCAAGTTTTCTTTTCGATAGGTTATTTAAAGACAGAAAAAAAAACACATCATTTCAAAATCAATTATCAAATATGTGAATATAAATATTTTCGTAAACTACCTATCATAAAACGTGCTAAAAGTGTACCAAATGCAATTGATTTAACTCAATAATTATCTTTTAAAACCACATTAACATATCAATGTTTCACATATTATTTTTAATAATATAATTTACAACTCAGAAAAACGTGTCTAGATGATTCAATTATTTAATAATTATTTAATTAAAACACCATATGGATACACCCACGGGAGATTTTTGAATGTTTAAAATTAAATAACTCACCATACACCAAATCGCCAGATTTTTTTATAAATCGAAAAATTGAATAATTATTATTTTTCACCATATTTTCGAGTAACAACAGAGGAATTCGAATAGCATAATGAACTAACGTGTGCCTATAATTATTGTTATATTCAATCAAAGATATTTGTGAAAATGTGTTCTAAAAAAAAAAACTTTCAGAGTATATTTTTATCAGTTAAAAATTAATGTATTTCACAGTTACATAAAACACACATCCTAGTTTAACTTTAAACCTGAAGCAGCTTCGTTCGAAGAATCAAACATTTTTTGTGTTATTATTAAAAACAAGTTCAATGTTTTACTAAGGATTTTTTTTTTTTTTTTTAATTATAACAAAAATATAATCAGATATGTGTATGTTAGTACATTATTAGAACAAACGTGAAACGGCGAAAGTTATTATTGTAGCATTTTGGATCTAGTTGATGCATCAACTTCATACTTAATTTTCCCATCAGTTTTCATAATAATTGGTAACAGCGCAGGTCAATTTTAAGAAGTTCAAATTTTAACAAAAATCGTAAATTTACGAATATTTATGTTTTTAACTTGATTAATTGAATTTCGCCCAGAATCGTATTTCATCAGCAATAATTTATCGCTAAGTTGGCACATATATGTACATTTTACAATTTTATGTATTCTACCTTCCTAACTTCTCACCTACAACAATGACACGTCCATAAGCAATTTCTGCTCTTTTTTTCATTTTAATTCGTGAAATTTGTGATTCTAATATTCTAATGTGGATTATGGATGTGTGAATTTCGTGACAACTTACACGCTAGTTTTATGTAAATGAAAATTTAAGACTGACCGTTTATCTATTGGGTGGTACAAAAGTAGCTGCTGTTTTTATTTTAAGTTTAGGATCAAAAACAACGATTTTTGTTTTCTTTCGGTTTCTCGGTTAAGGAATTTTCGTAATCTAAATTGTTGGCTTTTCTCCTTAGTTGAAACACTTATAGTCGCTCTGTCGCTCTGTCGCTCTAATACGAACAAAATAATTAAAAAACTATCAAATACCCACGAGAAAATGATTTTTACTTATTGGACTTTATTCCAATGTATTTGCGATATAAATCATTTTTGGCTTGAAATTCATAAATCGTTTTATTGTCAAGCAAATTAAATATCGGTAATCGTTATAAAAATCAACTTGTAGAACTTCAGAATTTAGAGAAGACATATAATCATACGTTATACGTTATAATATATATTACATATTATATATATATTTGAGCCTAAAGAAGAAGGTCATTAAGTCAATTTTGTATTGCTTCAATAAAAGTAAATTAAATTGCTAAATGTCTAAATAATTAAATGGCCTAACATAAATGCAGACATTCTAAATTGCCAAAGTCATATTAATATAAGATTAATGTTTTTTTGATGAACATACAATACATAATGGTGGCTTATGATATTTTAATTTTCAGTACATGACATGTTAGAATATAATTTATACATTCAGAGATTTACACCAACACCAACAAATAAAGGTAACCAAATTAAAAAAAGACACAATTATTTTGTAAACAAAAAAATCAACTTCTCTATCGAAAAATCTAAAGCCTCTTTTTTTCTGGGATCAACGATAAAATGATATAATATTAATATTAAAAATTAGTTATATTATTATGGTATAAATCAGTTGTTTCTGAAATTTACTACTTATTCTAAATCCCTATTTGTCGCGATTGTTTAAATATTTTCAAAAACCACCCATCGCGTATGTACTCGTATAATAAGTTTAATTTATTAACAGCATAAGTAATATTTTTTATTTTAAGTTAATGTAATATTATTTGTATGGATTTTCTTCTGAAATGGTTTAACACCTAAACGTCTGGCTCTGGATGTTTTTGGCCTAAACAGTATAGACATTAGACATGACAAACCAAATAATTATTTAACGATAGGGGACGAGGAATTCATAAATTAAATATGGTTTGAGCAACACCTATAATATCCAGTATGCTGACGATGAGTAATCAGTATTTTATAAAAAAAACAATCATAATTGATTATATCTATCGAGTTTAAAAAAAAAAAAAAAATGATAATAATAATAATAAAACTTAACACGATCATCGTTTAGTAATAATAAAAAAAAAATATACGTATAATATCAAATAATGGCCTCCATAATTCGTTTTTGCACGAAAAAAAATCTTTCGATTCCGCCAAATTAAAAAAAAAAAAAGGTCCGATTACGTTAAAATTAATATTTTAATTATTTTATATCGATCGGTTTGAACCACAGATAATACCTATCTAAGTCCTAAAGTATCTAGAAACTATATACAGAGTGTTTCTGAAATGAGTGAGTCAAATGTTGAATGCGTACTCAGTACTAGGCTTACGTAAAATGCACCCTAAGCTAATAAAAAACAAGCCCCTACTTTTTAGAATATAGATCCCTTCCCTCATAATTTATTTTACAATTTTGTATGTTTCTATAAAAATGTACAATAAATTAATTTTAAAATATTTTAAAGTTAACCTAAAAAAATTACTCCTCTTTTTACTCAGATTAAACAAATTACTCTTCTTAATTTTATCCAACCACACTTTTTAATTTTTTTTTAATATTATTGATTACTCAGTTTTACTATTAACTTATTCCAGATTTATTCCTATCAAAATTATATCATCTGAGAAAAATCATGCACCATGATACCTCGTCTCACCTGTAGTCCCCACGCACATCTGAGTTGAAAAAATCTGCCAAATTGTTGTTCAGAACTTCTAATACAGTTTAACAGAATTTTAAATCGGCTGTTAACTTGACATAACTCCATTTCTTACTTCTTACTACGTGTAAGAAACCGTGCCGAACCGTGGGAGTATTCTGATATTTTCCCTCAGCGTGTTGAAAATATTATAAACATGTAATCATGTTATCATACATAAGATAATGTAACGTTTTATCGCCCATTCATTAGTCGAATATTTGAGTGATATCCGGTTAATTCCGGGCTATTTTTATGATTTGACAAATAATTTACAAAAATAAATATTACTTAATCTACCTCATTTATGTTTAACAATATTTTTAACAACTAGATAGATTTTTTTTTTTAAGTAGATGGTAAATTTGGAATTGTATCTATAAATAGGAATTATATCTAAACAAAACCCAAGAGTTCTGCTGACTAAGGTGACTTTTTAACTCGTAATGCTATCTAGGCTACAGTGTAGTCCTAAATCCGGTCTTGTGCGTACTCAATGCGGCGTGTCTAAATCGGAAATTCACGATTCTGCATACATTACGATTTTGCACAAATTTTTTTTCTATGGCATTATCGTAACCATGTCAAAAAACTTCATTGAATTCAAGAAGTTATCTGTATAGTTTAAATTAAAACTAAAGTAGGAAGTAACTTATATATGATACAACTATATTCAATTAATGATACCGAATAGTTCTGGAAGCTTTCATTATAGTATCGTATCAATAACAGCCAATCATGTAACCCTCGTTCAACATAGATATTTTGTTTGTTTATTTATACATGTTGACAATTTTCTTTTTTTTTCGATTCAATGCATTATTTTTTTATTAAAATAGTTATTATTATCACAATTTTTTAATTTTACAAAAACCCACGAATAAAAAAACCCTACAAACGTTTTAGAAATATGTATGCGGAATCGCGTGAGTAAAAAGGTTTATTGTGCGTGTGTTGAAAATTTTCTTGGAATATGTTTTCTATCTACACATCCTATTTTTATTTGTTGCATTAACTCTTTGGATATTTGCGCAAGTTAAAAAATATCAAAACCGATCGGTCAGTAAAGTTGGACTCATTTGTAAATAAAGTTTATTTGTTTTGTTAATTTTACTACAATGCTATTAATCTGATTAGGTGTGTTAGATGCCGAAACAGAAATTTACAACACATTTTTTCATCAAAGTTCTCATACAGATAAAAGTAATGTTATGCTATTTTTTTCATTTAGCGACATTAAGTAATTAAGCGTCAGAAGCATGTGGAAATCTGAAAAAATGATGTGGTGTACCGATTCGCACGAGAAGTTTGCAAGACATATTTATTTTTAAAACTTACGCAAATATATATCAAGAAATGATGAAAAAAATGAAATGAAAAAAAAATCCATATTTTTGAATATAAAAGACAAATTCTAAAAATAT